AAAATTCAACCACAGACTCTTCGCAAAACGTTTTAAAATGTTCTTTTACTATAGAACTAATTATAAACTGCCTTTATCGATAAACTTTGAGTTCGAAATAAAATGATTCCAAATTCTCCCATGCAAATAACTTTGCTTAGTATAATAAAAAGTGTAATCAATAAAGAAACACTGAAATAATACGCTGTCTTGTTTCATATTTATACGCAACGATCGGCTTTTAAAGTAATTACAGTAGGTATGTTATTATACAGTATGTTGTCCAGTTTCGGGACAGTACCAGTATCGGGACAGTTAAATTTCATCACAAAATTTTTCTTTGTAAACAAAAATAAAAAATTATAACGGTAGGTTCCGATGATTCCCCGATATGTTGCGAAGATTTTGTGGTTTGGGCGCCTTTGCCTTTTTTTTAACTGTTTTTCTTGGAGCTTTACAATTTTTAGTGAAGGTAAGTCAAAAATTATTTTTCTAAAATTGGGTAGTTTACAGCGCGGCAAATGTAGTGTTCCACTTGAAGAACTAACTTCTCAGAAGTCCAGCAAGGAAACTGCAATGATTTTCAATTGAAATAAAGATAAAAGGTTTAAATTTTATTTGAAGTAAAAAATTGCGCCATTTTTCAAATATTTACGACATAATGAAATTTTGAATATTTATGCCATTTTTCCTCGCTTTGTCCAGTATCGGGACACCGACACTGGACTATTGTGCAAAAACGTAGAAACTCGTTGTTTTTCATTGCAAAAAAGTTCAGAGAAATAAAAAAAGATAATTTATTGTATAGTAAATTATTTTACGCTACTACAGGATTCTAGTGCAATACTGCAATACAAAGTATATGCAAGTGCTCGCGTTGCGTGGACACGCGCGCGTGTACAGATCGGAAACGTTCGTACGTTGTCGTGCCTTTTTGGCGCGAAAGAACACAAAAAAAAGAACATGTTTAATACGAAAGGACAAGCTTTTTGTATTTTAAGATTTGTAAATTAAGATAAAGGCCGAGTCATCAACGTTGTTTACCCGGCCAAAACCAAGTAACCTAAAGATAAAACATGAATAAAGATTAATGAACATTTACAGTAAACAACGAGACTCACAAACGTGTATATTTCAAGTGCGAATATTTGTGAGTATGACACATTTTATACGGACAAGCCGATATATTTTGTGATTTACAAGAAGATATAAAGAATATAGTATGGCTATGGACCCAGGTGGTCATAAGACGGATGAAGTACGATCGAAAGTCTGCGAAAAAGACTTAGAAGAGAGCATCTCGAAGGGAAAGAACAGCGAACAATTATTCGAAGACGAAGGTAATATTGATAAGTCCATTGTAATCAATACAGAAGACGATACG